CCCCCCCCCAATTAATGAAGTTGTTGATTTAAATCATTAATTTCGCTTCTTTCTTCTTTTTTTATGTGTGTGCCTCTTGGTATTGATAACTCCTTGAAGACTTACCCGTATCCCAAAGTTTAGATATGTTGTATTTTCATGTATTTTGAGGAGCTTTTATATTTCATCTATAACCATATCATGAAGTGTGATCATCTATAATGATATTGTGTGAAGTGGTTTGATTGTTGGAAGATGGTTTCCCATGTCTCGGTGAGGGGTGGGTATGGAACATTTGGTTGGGGTGTTTTTGTTTTTCCACAGTCAGGTGTCAGCTGATTGAATTTGCCAGATTTAGCTAACAATGAGCTTTGCCCAAAAGTCTCTTGGTTTATGTCTGCCAGCACCTGGAGGGTGTGACTGTATTTAAAAGGTGATAAGATGTCACAAATTTTGATCTTTTATTCATAGAGTCACTATGAATTGTAGTTTGATTCTATGACACATAAAAACATCTCATTTTTTTTCAAATGCCCACCATACATTAAACAAAATCAGAGGAATAGTGCTGTTTTTATTTCCAAATAGTTTCTTTGTGTTTTATGTAGAAGCACATTTAGAAATATGTCAGTTTTATAAATCATTTTTTTCCATCTGTACATTCCTGATGTATATCGTATAAATGCAGGAAGAAATAGGTACCCTGAAACATTGTTTTCCTTTACTTCTAAATTCATAACTTAATTTGTTTAAAGAGTGTATTTATTTATATAAAATGTGGCTAACACCAGTTTCCAAATTTTATTTCTATTTTAGGCTAAAAATCTCATAGAGAGATTTTTTAATCAACAAATAGATGTTCTAGGCAGACGTGCAGAGCCACTTCCTGAAATATACTATATTGAAGGCACTCTGCATATACTTTGGGTTAATCGCTGCTTTCCAGGGTATGGCATGAATGTCCTGTCACATCCAAACTGTCCTGAGTGCTGTGGTATGTAATACACTCTGATTTAATTCTTCATATTAACGAACTGTATTTATTATGTCTATCACTTTTTTATTATCATATAAATATTTCTTTTGCTTATTTGAAGTTGTGCTTTAACAACGATTTCTATGGATGGTACAGGATGAGTCAGTGTTTGTTCTGTTGTATATGGAGCCACTATGAGTTAGAACTGACTGAACTGTAGCTAGCAACAACAATGTAAAGTTAAAAATGCAAAAGAATAAAAATGAGTTTGAATCTAGTCCTAATACTAATAATGCAGTAAAGATAATAGCATCCCATACAGTTGTTTGGAGATAACGTAGTAATTAAAACTTGTGAGCATTGTCACTGATAGTTTCCTAGAATTTTCTGTAACTCATGACAACTCCACATACAGCAGAACTAAGCTTTGCTGGTCTTACTCCAACTTCATTACTGTGGATGTGGTAGAGTCCATTATTACAGTCACTGTGCATTTAGAGTGCCTTCTAAGCTAAGGATCTCATCCTAAGTACCATTTCAGGTAATGTTTTATAGTGGCCCAGGGAGTTTTCATGGATGATTTTTGGAAGAGGATTTTCAGGCCTTACATTCTAGTCTGATTTAGTCTAAAAGCTCAGGGGGAAAAAACCAAACATATTTATAACGGATGAATTTTTGATATTTAAATACCAGTCATAAATTCAAGCATCAATAGTATTAAAATAGAATGACAGATATGGTACCATTTAGAGCTAAAGAAACAGCTAGTATTTTGTTTATAATTCATTATTGATAATATTCAGTATGTATAGTCAGTCTAGGGTTGTTGTTGTTGTTATGTACTGTCAAGTAAGAATCATCCCATAGCTGACCATCCTGTACATTTTCAGAGGCAGTAAATCACGTGGGATGAGAGCTTGCCCATTCTTTATCTGTGGAGTAGCTGCTGGATTTGAACCATTTGCTTATAATCTAGGGTAGATATATTTTTCTTTTATTTTTTTCCTTTTGCAATAAGCATATAGATTCTTAATTACCAGTTGTTTGGTTTTTTCCCCCTCAAATTGCTTCTGAGTGTAGCACTAAAGAATCTAAACCACTAAACTGACTTTTGTCCACCCTTATTAAAGGAAGAATATGTTATTCTTCTTTCTACAAGATTCAGTCTTTCCATTTTTAATTAGGGAATATGGTTACCAGGAATTAGAAGGGAAGGAGGGAGAAGAAATTAATAAATAGATAAACTGGATGGGGGGGAAAGGCAATTAAAATTACAGGGTTGATCAGACATTTTAATTATTTACATCAGCTAATTATAACTAATGTTATAAAACAAAATAAAATATGTACTAGTGATTGAATGAAAAATTAATATGATTTATAAATGAGACTGTAAATTGTAGAAAACAATTGAAAAAAGATTTCAGTAAGAAATCTGAGTTAGTGCTGTGTCATGTATGAGATAGTTGTCTTTCTTAATGATTTGTGGCTTGAGTTAGGACTCTGAATGATTTGTGGTGAATGAATGCAATCTAGCTAACAGCATCAGGTTTCTGGAGTAAATTTCATTGACTTGAGCCAATTGTCATCATAAATAGAAAACATAACATGATTTTTTTTTAAAAAGTGGATAATTTCAAATTTAAAAGCAGTAGAAAATGTATCTTGGAGTTGTTATTATTGTTATGTACTGTCAAGTCAAACCAATTCATAACTGACCCGATAGCGAGTTTCCAAATATCCTTGTTCTGAACAAAATTTATAATTATATTGTACATTACATACTTTAGGGACCTCTGGTGACCTCGTGGCAAGAATTTGTGCTACAATCCAAAAGGCACATAGTTTGAGGCTACCAGTTGCTCCATGGGAGCAGACTGGGAATTCTCCTCCCATTTGATTAACTGTCTTTGAAAACCTAGTGGAGGGTGAGCTGTGGGTCATTTCTGACTAGAGGTTACACAACAACAACAATAACATTACATACTATACCATTAATACTCCTAGAAAAATACTACTTAAAAGTAATTATATAAAAAAAAACCTTAAAGGACCTCATCATATATAATATTTAACAAACACTGGTGGGTTTAAGTGGCACTTAATCACACAGGAGGAGAATGCCTGTCTTTCTCCTATAGGGCAGTTGGTGGATTCAAACTGCAAGCCTTCAGGATTACAGCCCAGCTTCTTACCACTAGGCCACCAGAGCTCCACAACTGTTAAATATGTTTACTCAAAGTTATTTTTTCTTACTATATTTAGTACTTAGAATTGTGCTTAAGGGGAATATACAATTAATAAGAATTGTACTTGAGGGAGAAGATATTTCATTCATCCAACACTTAATTAGTGTGGGCTCATTAATATTGTACTGTTTAAATTATAATCCATTGCTATCATCATATGTTTTGCTACTCAGACTGCCCCAGATTTTCCATTTATAAACAGTCTCAAGTGGTTGTTTTTATTCTTTATACATGCTCTCATAATTTTATTTAAAGCCTTCTTGCTTTCTAAAACTAGAAGATACTCTATCTCTACTTTTTCCAAGCAGCCCTGCTTATTTACAGTAGAATTTATCTGGATAATAAAAATATTCCTTGCTAATAGTATCATATTTTAGTTAAAAATTATAGAGAGAGCTCAGAGCTAAGAAGTATATGTATGTATAATATTACATACCTATCTATTCAATGTCTGTATTTATTTGTACATCTATCTAACTATTAGAATATGTATTAAAAGTCATTGGATTTTGCTTATACCTACAATTCCAACTCCCTACCACAGGATTCATTCTGCTTTTTTGGCTTTTATTGGAATGCTATTCTCTCATAATGAGATATATAGATGTTATTATTTACATGATTTTCTTATTTCTAATAGCTAACTACTGTGCATAGGATTTTCAAAGACCTGATGTATTTTGGAATTAGATGACCAGTCCTTCTACCTAGTCTGTCTTAATTTGGATGTTTAGTTTTAGAACAATATCTGACAAACAAGCATTTTACTGAGCAGATGAAAGACACTTCCCTTACAGAAATAACCAATACATTCATTCATTGCCCTCCTCACCAAAACGTATGTGTCTTGTCCCTTCATTTCCTGCTACATCAGTATTCCTTGCACTTCCACCTACCCAGTTCAACCCTCCCTCCCCAGCCACCTCTTAATATAATAGCTTAGTTCACAAGTCATGTCTGTGATATCTTGCATCACACACTGCTACTAATCTCTCATACTGTTGTCTGTCTTGCATTTGTTGTTGTTCATTGCTGTCAAAGTGAGAATGACTCATAGCAATCCTACGAACAATAAGCCTGAAGCCTTTATATAACCATCATCATTACTCTCCGGGTTCATAGAATTTCCAAAGGTATGTGGTTTAGGAAGTGAATGCCACTCCTGTTCCAAACCTTTCTTAAAACTGGGGGTTCCATCAAACACTGTCCGCCGTGGGCAGCCATTATGGCATTTGGACCCCAGTGTCACAAGGTTCAGCTTCACAGCAAACCCAGATTACCTTAGTAAAGCATATTGACATAAGAGTGCTACAACCTAAAAGAATGTTCCTCCAAAATGAAATAAAAATAGCAATAGTCTTGTATTTAGGAGACTGTAAGTCCAGATCCCATGTACCAGTTTCAGGGAAAGATTTTTGCCTGAGGCAGTACTGGGAAAAAGTTATTGCTCCTGAGATTCTGCTGCTTGGCTGTTTTTTTTGGTGAGACTAAGCTTGATAAAATGGGAATCCCAGAACATTTGTTTAGGTTTATGTAAAACCTGTACTTGGACCAGAAAGCAGTCCTCACAACAGAGCAAGGAAACACTGCATGGTTCAAAATTAGGAAAAGTGTGCATCAGTAGTGCATCCGGCCTCCATACCTTTTCAGTCTATATGCAGAAGAGATCACTGGGGATGCTGGGCTTTATGAGGAGGAATGGAATGTTAGGATTGGAGAAAGAAGACTCATTAACAACCTACATTATGCAGATGGCACAACTTTGCTTGTTGAAAGTGATGAAGACCTAACGTGCTTGCTCCAGAAGGTCAAGGACTATTGTCTTCAATATAGATTGAAGCTCAACATCAAGAAGACAGCTTCTCACAAGTGGGCCAATTGGCAGCACTATGCCAGATGGAGAATATCTTGTTAGACTGTAGATTGTTAGAGCTTGTTAACAATTACAGGTTGCTCGACTCTACAATCAACACTCTTGCCACCAGCAGTCAGGAAATCAAAAGATGAATTGCACTGGGAACATCTGCTGTCAAGCACCTCTTCAGAGTACTGAAATGCAACAATATCAGTCTAGAGACTAAGGTGTGCCTAATCCAGGCCATGATATTCGCAGTTCACAATTGCTTGCTATGCAGCAGAGAGCTGTACAGTGACTGAGGATGTCAGAAGAATCGATGCCTTCAAGTTGTGCTGGAAGAGTCTTGAACATACCATGGATTGCCAAGGATACAAGTCTGTTTTGAAGAGGATATGATACCAAGTTTCCTTGGAGGCTAGGATTTTGAAGCTCTGTCTCAAATATTTTGAGCACATGGCCAGGAGAGATCAATCCTTAGAGAAGGACATTATACTTGGAATGGTGGAGGGACATCTCTGGAGAGAAAGATCCTGAATGAGATGTACAGTAACTGAGGCAAAGGGAGTTGGTATGTCAGTGAGACTGGCTCAGGCCCCTTCAGAATTGCTGTACATTGGGTGGGGTCACAGCAACTTATTGGCACATAACAACAACAAGAAGAATAGCAAATTATCTACCTGTAAAAATTTAAAATCTCTACCCTATAAATTTGCAAACTAGAATGTTCACAATTTTTGTTTTGTTCGGTATTTAGTCTTCAATATAAAGCTAAAAACAATATTTTCCTGTGCTACTTAGATTAATTCTGTAATCTGCTTCATAATGATTATTTTATTCACTAGAAATTGTTTCATTATGTGTTCTCCCAACACTCTTATTGTTATCTACTTAATAAATATAAAAGAATCAAG